CCGTTTTATGTATCTATAAACCGTTTAAGATTACCTTCAGACTCTACGTACTGAATTCGATATTAACGTTGTTCCTTTTGAATTACGGTTCTACTTATAGATTTTTATCGCCTGTTTGTATGCAAAACTACGCATTAGCTCAACAAACTCAATTTGATGCTGTTCCACATTCTTTCATAACATCAATCTTAAACTTTGATGCGAATATCCAAAGTCTCTTACATATTGCTAAAGGCCACACGGTAGACTTTTGGTAGAGGTAAGTTTAATAATCTATCTATAAATATTTATAGCTTTATAAATTATTATAATTTGTAGACGTAAAAATATTAAGGGTTTTTAACGTCGTATATCACTGTAAGACTTGTCTAGGCTGTTTGTGTACCTATAAAGAAATAAAACCATCCCTTCGTATTGTTTAGTAGAATTCTGAACGTCAAAGGTCAATCACTTTAATACCAAAATAAACTTTACTTGTAACCTATAAATATCACTTCCCTGCAGGTGTGCGGAAACAATATTACATACGTATGTAAACATGAGTTAGGCCTGAGTTATTGACCCGAAACAATAGTGATTTCTTGGAAATCCTCTTCTCTAATAGCTTTCCAAAGTAAGTACTTAAACTCTTTGTTTTTCCAAGTACGAGGAGCTCGATGGCATAAGTGGCTAGCGCGTTCGGCTGCGATCGTTAAAGTTAAGCAACTTTCGCAGTGGTCGGTCATTGAATGGGTGACCAAAAATTAACTCCTCCGTGCTTCGTGAGGCACGTTAAGCCGTTGATCCCGGCTGCATCTGCAGTTGTTCACCCAACAATCCGCACTGGGCCCGCGTTATTGCCCAACCTCCCTATCACATCCCTAAGGAAGGCCTGTGCCCCAGCAGTGGGACATTGCCAGGCTGGTGACGAATGATGATGCTACGCTTAATTTGCATCGCTGGAATGATAAGGAATTCAAAAACTTTATTCAAACTTAGGCTTATATATATCCGGGTCTTTACAAATCTAATCGTTTTGCCAGATATTAATGAGTAGAACATTAATTAAAAATGACAAACGATGGTCGATTTAACTTTTCGCTTATAATGCAAATATCCTTAATTGAGCTCGCGTTGGTTATGAAAGGAACAAAAACGGCGTTTAATTAGTGCTTAATTAAGGGCATGCGGGGGCTCGTTAGCGGCGTGGTGCAGTGCTCCTCTCTCCTCTGCCTCTGGGCGGAGCGGAGTGCAGGACTAATGAGGTAACCTAGATTGAACACTATTTTAGTCACTGCTTACGAACAGCTGTATACTAAATACTTATAATAAATAAATAAATAAATATTTCCAACACTCACAACAATCAGCCTAGCCCCAAAGTAAGCAGCTTGTGTTATGGGATGCTAGGGTAACGGATAGAATACATATACAGTACATATATAAGTATATTTATATAGAAATACATATTAAACATCCATGACTGGAGTACAAATGCTCATTGTTCATCACACAAACATCTGCCTCCATCGGAATTCGAACTCGGGACCTCTCGAGTCGGCGACACCATGAAACCCGGCGTACAAACCACTCGGCCACGGAGGTCGTCGCATAAGTAGGGCCCACCGCGAGTAAAGTTTAAAATTTTCGTAACTTGTTTGTAAATACTTATTGTCCCATCTGCTACCTGGTCCGCGTGGATTTTTTTCTAGTAAAATTTTGTTTAGATTTAAACATCTAGCAGATAAATGCTTAAAAAATAAATAATGTATGTATGACTTGTTACTATTTAATTGCTTTTTTTGGTTTTCAAAAATACATTAAATTTAAAAAACAGAATATTTTATAAATCCTTATTGAGCGTTATTTATTCATAAAAAAAACTCTAAATAATGCGTTTATAACAAAAATACCCATTTTACCTTCCAAAATGCATGCAATCGTTAAGTTTAAAGCCACGTAAATAAGAATGAGGATTAATTAAGGTTTTTTAATAAGACAAAAATCAGTAAACATCTTTTCACCTCACAGTTTTCCTTTTTAAAGGCAACATAAAACATTGCAAACTTCCATTTACGTGTAACAATGTTAAAAATATTTCAAACTCCAGATAAAATTAAAGAATTCCTGATGGATTCAACAACTAAATATTATAAAACTAAAATATTTTATTGAGTATGTGCGCCCTTGGCCTGAAAGTTCCCGTTCCCGTGAAACATACGCGGGCTGTTTCCTCATAGTGCCCCATATACTGGGTCGAGGCGCACACATCGGTTATGTCATACACTTCGTAAACAACCATGAAATATCGAAGGACTTTTCCACTAGAAATCGGCTACGCTTATTTATACCACGCTCTGTTTTTAAGAAAAGTATGACACGGCGAATTTTCCGCTCCATTTGTAAAGGGAAGTATTATTTAACTGAAGCGGTTTGTATCTACAAAAAGGGTATACACTCCAGTCCCCGTAACATGAGCACCACAATTTATAGGCTTCACAAAATTAATAATTTATTTAAAGGTCTTTGTGTTCGCTTATACAATAAAGTCCCAAGCAATATCCAAGAGTTCTAGCCATAAATAAATTTAAAGATATTATAAAAAAAAAACACTTATTAAAAAAGCTTATTACAAAGTGTCTGATTCTATTACAGACAAAAATGCTTGGGTTTGAACTGTTCCAATCATTCCAACAGGTTTTCTATATTAAATAAATCATAATTGTATTGAAGTTGTAACAACATAATGATTTGTAAATGTTGTTACATTAGACTTTTAATGTTGTGGAGTTTTTTTCGCTCGTTTTTCTCCGCAGTTAAAAAATATGTCCATAACGAGTGGTAGGGAAAAAAATTTTTTTGGACGATTCAAAAGAGTTGTACTATACATCCAATTTGAATAAAGATATATTGATTTCTGATTATATTATATCACCTTTTTTATCGCGTCGAACTGTCATATTTCATAGTAATTTGGCAATTGAGCGTGATAAAAACACGTTATATATCATATCGCGGTGTTCATGCTAGGGGGGCAGAGCTAGAAAATCTGGTACATATTATGGTGAGGGTTGCTGCTGGTACGGTAGGCAACTGAATACCACCAATACTTACTAAAAAAAACGACGGGTTTGCACTCCGTGAGTGCCGGCAGAAGTGAAAACTTGAATATTAACGTTGTGCATTTTTGATATTTTGGAATGGTTAGGGAATAATTTTGCACGAATTGCTTTAATTAGCAGTATCAAAGTACTATCATTTATGTGGTAGAATACAATATTTATTTATTGCGCTATCGTACACAAACATGACAATTTATATTACATTAATAAGTTTTTTGTAAAGTCAAAAAAGTCAAGTATCTCTCAGCGAAACTAACTTACATGAATCACAAGCGCACCTAGCGACATCTATTGTAAAAAAATGCATTTTCTTCGCAATAAAGCTGCCACCTGGTCGTCCTAATTAGAGACTTATTATTATATACGATAAAATAAAATATTACTATGTTTCGTCCAATATATTGAAAGTCAACAACCTTTACAACTTTATTGTTTTCGTCTTACGAATTTTCGATTAGGACTGAGGACGAGGACGTCAGGACTGACGCGAACAGGCCACGTGCCCTGACGAGAGTTTAACAGTTTTTACCCATTACAAAAAAAGTGTACAACGCCGCTAAAGAAGTTTTCACTTCAAAAATTTCATCAGGCTGTATAATTCTTTGTTTTTAGGCATATCAATCATAAACTTGAAAGGATTTGTTCTAGCTAGGTAAATAACTGAGCTCCCACAACACAGTTAAATAAATTAAAACAAATTCATTTGACACTAAACCTCATTAAACATATTCAATGTCATATGCCGTGAAGCAAAAGTATAATCTGAAAACGTAGGAATACGGACTAGGTTTGCTTGAATATTAGGTTACGCATTATGCAGTAGTTGGCGATTAAAATACGCGAAGAACAAACAACACGTTAATTATTATTATTGCAGATAGCCGTTTAATCTTGTTGGATGTTATTTATTTTACGTCACTGAATAATAAAATACATTTAAGGTGAACTAACGGTTTTTTTTCTGAGAACTAAAATTTTGATATGCATCGAAATTCGTTTCACATTCGGTATTACCGAAGTTCGGCAGCTTTTGCCTAACTTCGTCTTTCGCCGAATTTTGGTTAGAACTCCCGAAGGTCGGCAAAAATTCGGTAGCTTAAATTAATATAAATTAGAAATAGAAAAAAATGTTTTAAAATTATATCTTGATCAAATTCTGATTTGTAAGCATATATATAGGTATAACGTGGATGTTCGTCGTGTTGGTTTTTACTAGAGAAGCCCTAACCCTAGGCAAGAAAATCATTAAAATATCAATAATATGTTTAATTTTTATTACAATTATTGTAATAATCACAAGGTAACATAACATTCTTTTTTTCTTTGCAACGTATTTTAGATACTGATACTCTTTTACATTCGGCAGGACCCACATTGTGCAACACTACTAAAAATTATGGTTATCTTATAAGTGGTAAAAAAAATATTCTCCATAGAAAAATATAAGAAGATAGATCAGCTGATCGAGTTAGTGTCGTAATCGATATTTGTTTACGATTTGTATTAGGTTAACATGGGCATTTACGTTACGGCTTGTTAGGATAATTAGAAAACAACCTACCGGATCTAAAGAAATTTTTAACTAGAAAATAATTACACTCAGTCAGAACAGGACCCAAGCCTTTGCCATACGCAATTCACTAAAATCCGACACATGTTACTATAGCGCTGTAATAGAAGCACCATGAGCTGATGGCGTAACGTTAAAAAAAATGTTTAACAATTTCAAAGAATTCTGGTTTGGTGGTGAAAGAATGTTGGTAACCAACATTCTTGAACCAACAGTTGGTGCAACTGGACAGCTTGACAAAAGCTACTATGCCATTGATGAGAGGGAGAGAGAGACCATAATGGTGTCACTGTTGTCAAATATTAATCTGTCTCGTATCATTGTTGCAGATATGAACGGCTACTACGTCGCGCGCGCACTGAGGACCTCAGCGAGGTGTCGGGCATCGGCTGTCTGTACCAGAGCGGCGTAGACCGGCTCGGCAGGCCTGTCGTCATCTTCATCGGCAAGTGGTTCCCTATCGGCGACGTGGACCTTGATAAGGTGGGTATATCCACTATGATATGAACGGCTAAAACTTCACACGCGCTGAAGACCTCAGCGAGATGTCTGGCATCGGCTGTCTGTACCAGAGCGGCGTAGACCGGCTCGGCAGGCCTGTCGTCATCTTCATCGGCAAGTGGTTCCCTATCGGCGACGTGGACCTTGATAAGGTGTGTATATCCACTATGATATGAAAGACTAAAACTTCACGCACACTGAAGACCTCAGCGAGATCGGGCATCGGCTGTCTGTACCAGCGGCGTAGACCGGCTCGGCAGGCCTGTCGTCATCTTCATCGGCAAGTGGTTCCCCATCGGCGACGTGGACCTTGACAAGGTGTGTATATCCACTATGATATGAAAGGCTAAATCGTCACGCACCAAGGACCTCAGCGAGGTGTCGGGCATCGGCTGTCGTAATCTAACCCTTTTTCGGGATTAAAAGTATCCGTTGACTCAATCCAGGTAATTAGCTATTTGTGTGCCAAATTTCGTTAAAATCCGTTCAGCCGTTTTTGCGTGATTGTGTAACAATGATAGAAACTTTCACATGTATAGTATTTGTAGGGTTATACCTACTAAGACTAAAGTTTTGTAGCTTGCAGCTCACGCTATCGCTATCTTGTAAACGTTCATATACTATGAGAAATCCGAAACGTCCATTGCCTTTATAGTTAGCGGTTAGTGTATTCGCCCCATCCTACTAATATAATTAACGTGTGGGGGGGGGGGGGGGTTATATGTTTGTTACTCAATAGACGTAGTATAATTTTCATTTCGGAAAATGCTGGGTTGCTGTGGGATTCTGGAAATACTAACAACTCTATGAATCCCCCGGATGTGCTAGTTCGAGTCCAACCTTGGCCGAGTTTAAAATCTTGTTTAGTTATAAAATAAAGCAGTTTAAGATTAATAAAAAAGCAAAAGACAATAGTACTAAGTATATTTTGTCATAAGTTTTTTTTTATTAAAATTTTTTCAACTTTGTCCAGGTGTCGGGCTGGAATCGAACCATAGTCTTTCGCGATTCGGGCAAATGTACTGTCTGTTACACTACTGAGATCATAAAGGATCTGGCTGTTTATAACAACAACAGGCGCCATTGACCTCTGCATATATAAATATCTACGCAAATGTACGGAGGCGGTTCGGAACAACAGATGTTTATACGCTGAATTATTTTGTACTCATCCAATATTCAGCGCACGCTGTTTTTGTAATATAAGTATAAAAGTTAGTTACACGCGAAAGGTATTCACAGTAACGCATTTCGCAACAAATAAGAATTGATATTGGAAAATAAATACATATATTATATCATTTAATGGCTAGATTTTTAAGTACCTACATATTATTTTTTGCTTTAAATAATTCAACTTGGCTAGGGTATTTATCAGACTATAACAAGTGGTACATTAATGAATTAATTTGATAACATTAGTTTCCATCATTAACCTGAACAAGGTAAAATTGCTGAAGATTTATTAAACCCAGCCGTCAAAATCTATTTAAATGAAATTCCTTTTCGATTAAATATTGTAGTAATCAAATGCTTCAACAAATTATATTAATTACTACAATATGTTCCCTGATTGATATCTACGCGCCATTCCTGGAATATGAATGTCAGGGAAATGTCAATGATTTCCCTTCGGACCCAATTAGGAGTCTTTGTTTCGGGTACCTACCATTATATAAAATATAACTAAGGCTGAGGCCGCACTGGGGGCCATTCGCCTAACGGAAATGCTTTGGAAAACGCTAACGCCTACGATTTCATTTTGTTATTTCAAGCCGCCTGAGTTTTTCAAATGCCTTGCGCTCTTTTTTTTTCTTTTGCATTGGTAATAACAATATAAAAGAAAATGAGCGTGAGGTATTTGAAAACCTTCGGCGGTCAGAAATAACATAATGAAATCGAAAGCGTTAGCATTTTCCAAAGCATTTGCGTTAGGCGAATGGCCCCCTGGTACGGCGCTTACAACGCGACGGCAATTTCGTGATATAACAAACTGCAAACGTTTCTGTTTGTACTGCGCCGTCGCCGTAAGGCATTGTCCTAATACAACGCGATCATCGCGCGATTAAACGATGCGACCATCGCGTGATCGCGAACTGGGTGTCCTAATAGAACGCGAATACGGAACGGGTTAGCCCTGCCCCTCTCCCCGCTTCCTATCGACGCGACGCGATCATCGCGCGAACTTCAGTTAGGACACCTATTCATCATCAATTGGTTTGATTGCGCGTTCGCGTGAACTAAGTTCGCGCGAATAGATTTTTAAACATTTTAGTCGCGCGAATGCATCGCGCGATCGCCTATTAGGACACCTATTCTAGATCAATATGTTTGATCGTCGAATCGTACGATGATCGCATCGCTCATTCGCGTTATCGCGTTGTATTAGGACAATGCCTAACAGTACGGCCCCGGGCTAAGCCACTTGTCCATCGCAAGCCTTTCACGTCATCTTGATCTCATTCAAAAAGAATGTGGTTGTTGGTGACGGTCCGGTGACAGCCGCGGTGGACAAACAACCTAAAACAAGCAAAAAAAGAAAAAACACGTCTTAATTTTAAAAATATAGATCTTTCAATGATAATGTACAGTTTGAACAATCATGGCTCACACGAGTATATAAAAAAACTATTTAACAGACTTTGATGAAACTGTGACTGTTCCATCATTAAAAAAATACCTGAATCCAACAAATAAAAATTGAGTTATTGTTTTCGAGAAGTATGTACTTTTACAAACATGCATAGGTGTACCAGCGAAATTAAAATCCAAGCACTCCACGGATTAAAAATAGGTCAAAATGATAACCTTTTTTAATAAGAAATCTGCTAAAAATAGCATCAATACTTTCTCATTAGTTGTTCGTGTTTGGGGCACTGGTAATAATGGGTAATATAATGTTGTTCGTAGTTGCCTTTTACGGGCACCAGTCTCCCACATAATAGGTTTATGTATTTGTATTGATTATGCTAGTTACCTATTGTACTGTTACACCTTATGTGAGGAGAAAATAAATGGTATATTATTATTTCCAGGCGTTGTTGTACCTGATTTTGCTGCTGGACCCGATAGTGCGCGGCGACTATGTGATCGCGTACTTCCACACGCTCGCGTCTGCCGCCAACCACCCGCCCTTCTCCTGGCTCAAGGAGGTGTACACCGTGCTGCCTTACAAGTGAGTTCCAAAACATAATATAATGTTCTATTACTCTTCACAACTTACATATTATGGGACACTATATAAGATGTGAGAGTCTGATGCTTGAAATAGGTATATATGTTAAGAAAATATAACTAGAAAAAATTCCACGGGGACCAGGCAGCAGACGGGACTCGAACCCGCACCCTTCGCAATCCGGGCGAATGCACTGACCAATTATGCTACCGCGGCCCTCACGGACCGCGTCGAAATTCTTCTAGCCATTCTTAAGCTGCAAGGCAGCGCCATCTCTTCGCATTATAGGTAACCCACAATGTCAAATGAATACTTTTACAAGTATTAAACATTTGAAAGAAGAAATAGCAATTATAGTTATAAATTTTATTATTTTTAAAGCATGTAACTGCTTGATGTTTAAATCTAAAGACCTTACCTTACGTGGGTTACCTATAATGCGAAGAGATGGCGCTGCCTTGCAGCTTAAGAATGGCTAGAAGAATTTCGACGCGGTCCGTGAAGGCCGCGGTAGCATAATTGGTCAGTGCATTCGCCCGGATTGCGAAGGGTGCGGGTTCGAGTCCCGTCTGCTGCCTGGTCCGCGTGGAATTTTTTCTAGTTATATTTTCTTTAGATTTAAACATCAAGCAGTTACATGCTTTAAAACTAATAAAATTTATAAGTATATATGTTTCCAATATAAATAAAGATATTTTGGTCCTTTTTGGATTTTGAGACATGCATCTTTATAAAGTTATTTATTATGTACTCTTGAAATGAAATTGACCGAATCTCATTGGCGTAGCTTAGAGATTTTTCGTAGCCGTCCAGTTAAACTTACATTTTTTCTTAAATATTGTTTTAAATTGTATGTAATTCGAATTCTAAGGTTGAGGGTACGAGAAGATTCTAGGACGCACCGCTAACTACGCCCATACCAAAACTAAAAAAATATCTGTAATTTCTAATTTAGCTACAAGTTAACATTATTAAGGCCATTCGTTATTTCTGATTTAGCTTCAAATTAACCTTTAAAAAGGCCGTACTATACAACCTTATGGAGAAAAAGAGACCAATCCTTTCTTTTTTACATTTTTCTTAGGGTGTTGTGTACACCCTTTGAAAACACATACAAAGAAATTATAAATTGTTAACCGTACCGCAAAAATAAATCTAAACTATAATCTTTAACCGCAGAAATATTATTATGTACTGCGAACTTTGTGAATTCTAGTAAAATATGTTACGTGACCATTAATTTATAGACTCAAAACAAATATTATGATTCTTAAATTGAGTAATTAGGCATTCTGCGACATATCTCAAATAAGATATTTTTTTCTCATTGCAGATATAAAAAGAATCTGAAAGCGTTTTACATAGTGCACCCCACATTCTGGACAAAAGTAAGTTTGTGTTTCTTTTGGCTGCTATTATATTGGGCTGATATTGATAATGTAACAATATTTTATTGCTCAAATAATTTAAATCAATAACAAAATATAACTATAATTGCTATTTCTTCCTTCAAATGTTTAATAATTTTAAAGGTATTCATTGACATTGTGAATCACCTTTAATAGCGGATTAGCTAGCCCGAATAACAGAGGGTGCGGGTTCGAGTCCCGTCTGCTGCCTGGTCCGGTTGTAATTTTTTCTAGTAAATTTTCTTTTGTTTTAAACATCTAGCAGGTAAATGCTTAAAAATAATAATATCTCTAATATTATAGTAATATAAGTTATCTACGAGATTGTTACCATGTACCTTGTTTTTAGCGAGTATCCGATATTTCGGCACTGTTGCAAGCGCCATGATCACGGAGTAACTGAAGCAATTGAGGGTAGGCTGTTTATTGGCAGACATATCGGTCTACCCTCCGACGAAGTCTTTTATTGCGTTCGATACCCGTACCACTGTTCACATTCTCACTATTCACTCGAAACTGTTCTCGACACACAACACTTACAGTATCGGATCGCGACACGACACCTTTTTGATTATTTCCGGTTTTACACATAAGAACCACAGGATTCCAGACACTCGACAATTTAAACCCGTCCGTTGTTAGGACCAGAATCAATCAAATGTTCCGCGATGGCTGATTTCTGCGTATCGTTGTTAATCAGCCATCGCTGGATTGAGTTTCATAACCCACAGATTATCTCGACAGAACGCCACTACATACCAAGATTGGTCAGGGAAGCGATTGAAATAACAAAACATAAAAATTTCACTCATGAGGACGGGTTTAAATTGTCGAGTGTCTGGAATCCTGTGGTTCGTATGTGTAAAACCGGAAATAATCAAAAAGGTGTCGTGTCGCGATCCGATACTGTAAGTGTTGTGTGTCGAGAACAGTTTCGAGTGAATAGTGAGAATGTGAACAGTGGTACGGGTATCGAACGCAATAAAAGACTTCGTCGGAGGGTAGACCGATATGTCTGTCAATAAACAGCCCACCCTCAATTACTTCAGTTACTCCGTGATCATGGCGCGTGCAACAGTGCCGAAATATCGGAAACTCGCTATAAACAAGGTACATGGTAACAATCCCGTAAATAACTTATATTACTATAATGTTAGTGACCATGAAAGTTTAAAACAAAATATCACTAATGTAAATCAAGTCTAAAATGACCAGAGGCCCGAGCACGACCTTTTGACAACTCCGTAATCGTATCGTCATCGTCAAATTTTATATGGAAGGAGCCAGTTTGTTCTTACGCCCGGTAAACGTGCTGCTTAGTTTTCATAGAAACTGACGATGCGATACGGTTACGGTACCCTTAGCACGAACCATTATCGAATTCGAATAGTTTGCGAGTCCGAAATATCATTATCAAATTTTGTATAAAAACTTGGACATTAGCACACACTTGACAATGACATTTCGTACTCGCAAACGATACGAATTCGATTTTGGTTAATGCTAAGTGTACGGATCTTTCAAAGTCCGAGCTTTGGCCACAGCTTGTTTTCAAGTGAAATCTTTTTCAATTACTTGTAAGTTTTATTCGTTAAAGTTAAAAACACTATTAATTTAAAAATAATACCAATCATGCCTCAGCCTCTGGTTCCCCCCTAATATATCCGACGATCTCCGTGGCCTATTGGTATGTATCGGGTTTCAAGATGAAGCCTACTCGAGAGGTCCCGTTGTCGAATCCCGGTGAGGGCAGATGTTTGTGTGATGAATACGAGTTAATACTCCAGTCATGGTCGTTTAATATATATTTGTACATAAATATACTTATATGTATAGGGGTGATGACGGGGTACAGTAAACGAAATTCTATTTAGTCCGTCAGTTAGATGATCAAAAAATAATGGACGCGTATTTTTTCTTTGGGCAATCAACCAAAAAATGACAAAGTGATAGCGCGTCAAAGTTTGGGAGTAGGAGCTCGTGACGTCACTTTTGAGTGAATTTTCACTTATAAGTGTACTCAAACGTGACGTCATGCGACTTTTCAAATCAATATATCTCTGCAATGTTTACATTATGTGAAAAAAGAAAAAATACGTGTCCAATACTTTTTGACAATCTACCTGATAAACGAAGAAAAAAAATAGTCTTCATCCCTATTCTATCCGTTACCCTAGTATCCCATAACACACGCCTATAGTGCTTACTTTGGGACTGGCTCATTGTGTGTGTTGGATATATTTATTATTATTATATCCAATGTTTCTCTTAAAACACTCAATTTTGCATTTCACCATCAGATGATGACTTGGTGGTTCACAACATTCATGGCGCCAGCGATCAAAGCGAAAGTGCACAGTCTGCCCGGCGTCGAATATCTGTACAGCGTCATGCCGCGCGACCAACTAGAGCTGCCCGCCTTCGTGACGGAATACGACATGACGGTAATGTATACCTTACCGTACTGTAAGGTACTATACTGTACTTCACTGTGCAGTATTGTAACGCGCCACCAACTAGAGCTGCCCGCCTTCGTGACGGAATACGACATGACGGTAATGTATACCTCACCGTACTGTAAGGTGCCAAACTGTACGGCACTATACCGAGTGCAGTATCGTAACGCGCCACCAACTAGAGCTGCCCGCCTTTGTGACGGAATACGACATGACGGTAATGTATAACCTTACCGTACTGTAAGTTACTATATTGTACGGCACTGTGCAGTATCGTAACGCGCCACCAACTAGAGCTGCCTGTCTTTGTAACGCAATACGACATGACGGTACTGTATACCTCACAGTACTGTAAGCTGCCATACTGTAAGGCACAATATTGAGTGCAGTATCGTAATGCGCCACCAACTAGAGCTGCCCGCCTTCGTGACGGAATACGACATAATGGTAATGTATACTACACCGTACTGTACGGCACTATACCGAGTGCAGTATCGTAACGCGCCACCATCTAGAGCTGTCCGCCTTCGTGACGCAATACGCGTGGCGGTACTGTATACTGCACCCTACTGTACGACACTGTACCGCGTACATTATCTATGCAACGTTATGCCTTACCCACCACGCGGGCCCAATGCGGATTGATGGGTGCTAACGACTACTGATGCAGCTGGGACCAACGGCCTAACGTGCCTTCCGAAGCAACGAAGAGTGAGAGATAATGAGTTTTTGGGACAAAACTCCATCATAGTAATATAAGTTATTTACGGAATTGTTACCATGTACCTTGTTTTTAAGCGAGTTTCATGTTTTTGATCATGGCGCTTGCAACAGCGCCGAAATATCGGAAACTCAGTATAAACAAGGTACATGGTAACAATCCCGTAAATAACTTATATTACTTTTGAATAAATAAAAAATAATGTTAGTGACCATGAAAGTTTAAAACAATTTAAAAGTTCATTGTTTGCACAGACCAATATACATATGTACCTACGTATATGAAATGTAGGTAAATATAATAGAATTAAAAAAATATCCAGATGGCCAATTATTGTACCTCGAGGGCCAATCTATACATTTGAAACTTTTTCTGTTAATTTTTAAATATTTTAATCCATAATAATATTGAGCTATTAAAAGTAATCTTATTTTATCTATCAAACTCTATTTAACAGCATTGTGGAACTACATTCAATCGAAAACTAATAATCAATTTATTACAGACAAACAAATGAAGAATTTCGCTTCAGGGACCAATGATTGTATAGTCTGCCTATATACCTGTATAAAACATGTAGTATACATTACTTGCAACAAAATTGTTGGATAAACAAAATATGTAAAAAAAATAAGTGATTTATACTTGTATGATACTAGTTGTCTATGCAGTGTTAACGACGAAATGTTTTAAACAGCCACAATAAGTATTCTACATGTTTTGTTTAAAAGTAGTATATGACTTGTTTCTTGGGGGAAACGAGGGGTAACAAAGAAAAAAAATCACTCTCTCATTTATAATACTAGCGACCGCCCGCGACTTCTTCCGCGTTAGCTTTTTTATAATCCCGCAGGACCCAACTTATTTTAGGTGTAAAAAGTATCCTATGTCTCAATATGTGCCAAAGGATCCATTATTTTCTCCCTACAACTCTATACAATTTTGTACCTCATGTAGTATTATCATGCATTTATTTGTAGAAAAATACGTAGAATTCATCGAAAATGTAAATGAAGTTTCTTATCCACTTGTACCACATAAAAATGTCGTTTAAACATTTTAATTAATGGCAACATAAATAATATATTATATGGTTAATATGCATTTTTAAGTTAATAACAATTCGTTAAGGAAATCACGTGATTTTTATAGAACCAATCACAATCAAAGAAATTAATTTATACCAATAGTATTAGCTGTCATCTGTCAAATGACAAATTGCGTTTGAGTAACAACGCTTCTTTATGGGCAGATTCCTTTTTTTTATTCAGATTTACAGCAATATTTATTGAATTTGTTTGAGACTTTGACGAGTGTCTTTTCAAGTATAATTTTAGATGTTTTTTGAGATAATTTATACCAAAGTACAAAATTGGACATACATCGAAAGATTCCTTACATCCAAATTAGTTTAACCGTTTTTGCGTGATTGAGTTACAAACATACGAACTTTCCATTTTATATGAGGAAAGGAGTATCATTAGTTCGAACACTTTGACTACATGTAAATTGAATTGACAGTAGTTTTTGTTTTCTATTACAGATAAACGGTCTCCATTATTTCCAACCGGACACGAACAACACGTAAGCGTCATCAGCGGCCGCCGCTCTATGGTGACATTCCAAGACGCAACCATAAACAAAACTATCAAATTTAAGGAAAATATTAAAATGATCCACAAAAAATCAGTAAATGATCCCTTAAAAAATACAATTGGTAATCTAAAAGTTAGGTAAGGTGACCAGTTGTATTTTTTAGATGATCAAATACTGTTTTCGTGGTCATTCAAAAAAAATTTAACCTCATCAACTTTGCTACTAACAATAAAGGCCGGCCTCCAAAAAAAACTACCATTCAAACTGTTTATTGTTACTGGCAACATCAAACAAATTGTGGCGGCAAAACTTGATAAAGTTTAAAAATGTCATCATAGATGAATCGACCAATCGACTGTTACATTGCGTAAGACGTGATTGGACGAGCTTTAAAAATAATAAAGAAAGTCGATTTGAAAATTAAAATTCAGGCCGCTCTGTTGTTGTTCCAAGTGAGATTTTCATACAAAACGAATGAACGCAAGCAAAATCAAAATCGAAAAAACATATTTTATTAACAAAAAATCCTCCTTACAATGTCGTTAGATGGTGTAATTTAATAAAAAAAATGGTATTTAAAAAATAATAATAGATTAAAAATATTTTTGTGTGAAAATTTCACTCGACTGTTTTTTGAGATTGTTGAAAGTATATCATGTAACTTAGTATTAGAGGTGCATTTTTATATTATTTAACAGTAACGATAGTGCTAAGGTTGTATCGGACGTTTCATGTGCTCTTCTATAATATTGTTTATATTATCTTGTATTTTATATACCAGAATCTATTATACTCCACGCGTTTTCTTCTACAATTCTATTATTTACATTTAACCATTTCCAAATGGCTACCATTTAAGAGTGCTATTCGAATCTGCAATTTGTGCTATCCATGTCTGACATAATAATTTTAATTTGGAACTGGCGCTTCATATTTCGTTATTCGAATTGTTATTTGTCATTTTGACAGCAGGTTGTCCTTATCATACTCTATAGAGAGTGAAAAGAAGAGCTTGTTGCCAAGTTCACAAATAGCAAGCACGAATAGGCAAGCGATGTGCCAGCATGACGTTTACGTTTTACGTACTCGAGGAGATGTAAACCTGCGACAGGGTATTCGTTAGCGCCTAGAGGTTTATTTTTTAAAATCGATGTGTACCCAGTTTGTATTAGTTTAAGATTTTTACGTGGGCCAAGGTACCCTAAAGTAATTGTTCCGAAATGGAAACATTATTGTTTTGAAGGTGCTTGATTGCAAAATGAGAATATTTTTATTTTTACATTAGGTGTTCGAAAATAGGCTTAATTAATTATATTATATACCTAGATGGTTGTAAATACGCTGTTGAAAATTTTCCTCATGATTTTAACCGCTTGCGTCGTAGCGGAGTACGTCGGATACTATTAAAAATCTATATAAAATGACGCAATCGCGTGCATAACATACATTATGTCTGTATGAAGTTTTTTAAATAATATCTCTCACTAATAAATTATCTTTCGAATCATCTGTATAAGCGCAATTTACTACATTATCGCCTGACGATCAATATCTATTTAGAGGTTAATCGTTTTAATAGTGATACGTTTGCCCTGTATCGACATAACCAGATATTGAGAGTTTGCGCTATAGAATAACTTCTAAATGTTAATTCTCTTATGATATTAAATTCATTGTAGTATTCTGAACGTTTTAAGCTGTACGGTAGTGTTGCCAAAAATAAAATGTAAAAAACACCACTGCCACACTCGCTGAAATCTAGATTCTAATCTAGATTTTTTCGGTTCGTTGGTGCCACATGGGCGACAGTTTAAAAACCTACGTAATTTCTTCTTTCAAATGTTTAATACTTGTAAAGGTATTCGTTTGACATTGTGGGTTACCTACAATGCGAATAGATGGCGCTGCTGATGGACACAGTCATTCGGGTCGCGGTAGCATAATTGTACACAGTGCATCCTCCCGGTTAGCGGAGAGCGTGGGTTAGAGTCCCGTCTGCTTCCTGGACCGCGTGGAGTTTTTTTCCAATAAAGGTTTCTTTAAATAAATCAGTTTTTTACGGGTTATATGCACTGAGTTTATTTATTTATTGACGTTTCGCATCCTTTTCAGGAATGCATCATCGGAATAACGTAAATAAATAAAAAAAACAGTACATATAACCCGTAAAAAACTGTTTTATTTAATTAATGAAGTGCGCGTAAACCTAAGAAACAAATAAGATTTCTTTAGATTTATACCGTATGTAGGGACAAACGACGTTATAGAATCGTGTTCGCGTTTTTTGTACTTAAGTAAATAAATAGTGTTTTGAATGACATTCGCTAAACACTCTGAAGCTCCCATGCTTGGACGGTTGTGTGACGTATACATGTTCGACCACTGACGCAATACGAGCTGATAACAATGGTACAAATACAGTAATTAGTGAAGTTTAAAAAAAAAAAGTAAGTAACGGTATATTTTTTCTAATAATAATAATCTAAACAGTTGACCGAAACATTGTGCCACACCTATTTTAAGTTTTCTCGGTGATAAATATTTTATTACTATCCTATTTGTAGAGGGAAATGTTGATGCAATATTAAACGAGTGGTTTGTACGATATAATTGATAAATGTCATTTAATTGAACTTTTTTTTTTACAACGCAGATTGTAAAATTAACCATTATGATAACTATTGTTATGTATACCCATTTATTTATAGAGGCGAAAGAAATATTTTTTTATGAATCTGCTGTCCGTCGTTTTGTAATCCCTTTCATTAAATTTTCTGTAGCAATCCATATAATAATATGAGATTTTGTAAATTAACGGGAAATGTATGCATTAGCGGAAGTATTGAAATTATATCAACAAGGCCTTAGATGTGTTAACTATTGTTATTTTGTACTCGTAATAAATAAAATATTGCGTTGTATATTTTATTGCTGTTGACATTTGATCTGCGGAGTACAGTGAAATTATCGAGTTCAAGTAAATAACTTAGGTGTTATGTGAAAAATGTGATCAAGCAAAATGTTAGTTAAGTTTCATATTTTATTATTATTAAATAGATTGTTAAATAGGCTATGTACATATTTAACAAATAAAAGAATAAAATTATTAATTTACTATTGAAGTGGTTTTATTGTCAGTCATACTTATTTAAAGTTGATAATGATAAGCTATTGTTAGTTTTACAAAAATTTTGGAAAGTTGCTATAACTCTAGGTGTAACCCGAAACACGGACAACTAGCGAGAAAGTATTCGTATCACCATCGTCAAAGTTTGAAAGGAAGCACTTGAATTTGTTTGTTTGTCTTACGCCCGGTAGAGCCGCTGCTTAGTTGCCATAGAAACTTTGACGATGGCGATACGAATATGGATCTGTACCCCTAGCATGAACCATTATCCAATTCTAATAGTTTGCAAGTGCGAAATGTCATTGTCAAATTTTGTATAGAAACTTGAGCAGTAGCGCCATAACGTACATAACGAGAACTTAAAATCAGTACACAATTGACAATGACGTTTCGCACACGCGAACTATTCGAATTCGATAATGCTTCGTACTAAGGTTGCTGTTACCCCCTTATTAATAAACAACGAAAAATGGGTGCGTGTACTTATGTAGGCGCGTGAGAAGTTATCCTTCTTTGGCATCGTTTAAAATTAGTTTTTAATTGCATGCAAATAATTAATTACAATAAATTAATAAAAAGTCTGGAAAAGGACACAGTCAATAAAGTTCAGTTTTAATTTGAAAAAATAAATAAATAATCAAAATATTCAATTAAAATCGCTACTGAATATAATTTATTAGAACATATGTGATTTGCACTTGTATGAAACTCAAACACGTATTCCGAATATACAAACTAGAAACATGTGGATAAATATTATAAATATGAATACCTATAACTGATACTTTATTACAAAAAATAAAGATGTGGTTTTGGTTCTACTACACCAATGGTCAAGAGATGGCACTGTAGTCTCCTGAATCGCGCTTTGGTTCCGTTGTTCCAGATTAATAAATACTTTTGATAGGCCTTCACAATGCAGTCGTTAGCACCCACTAAATAGAGATTCTATTTCTATTTTGTTGGTAGATTTTCTTAATGTGCGGTAAACACAAAAGTAACGCATGAAGTTGGTCGCTACTTCATGCTGTTAAAATTTTGTGTTACAGTGATGCGCGCGCATCTTAAAATTTCACTCTCATCATTTTTTCATAACGCGCCTAAAGAAGTATAACTTCAAAAAGAAGTATAACTTCAATAAGCTTGGATAGGTTACTCTATATTTTCTCTGTTCATTGAATTACAAAATTAAATGTAACTTTAGTGATAGGAACAAAATACGGCGTAACTAGTCTTAAGTTTATGCTTCGTTTATTAATAAGGGGGTATAAGGTAGGGGGTAGCTTGTGGTAGGTAGGTAGCGGCAAACTTGAGCAAAACCACAGACAAATTAACTTTAGCAGTAGATGCTATTCTATGTATAACTGTGTTGATGCTCAATAACTTTGGCGGGATGTATAATTAGGGGATCGCACATAATATGCACGCGCCTCATTTCTTTATCACCTCGGCTGTGAAAGTGGGTGATTTCTGCCAGAGTTTGAGAAAATTGTTTACATATTTTGGGTTTTTCCTATTTAGTAATGGCTTTAATTTACACATCTATTAAATAGATAAGTTTGTAGAGAAACTATTCAGGGTTGATTTAAGACAAAATGAAGCCTCGATGTACAGTAGAATTCGAATAATAAGAGGATAGTGAAAAACTAAGTAGATGGCTACAGACTATACGAAGGATATAGACTACGAAATGCGGCGCGTACGGTGCTGATGGAAATGAGCGTGGTTTCATAAAATATGATTGCATACAAATAATTATTCTGAATGCAGCGCGTACGGTGCGAAAATAAGTGCGATCTCCTTTAGCAGTTTTTCATTGGCACATGCAAATTTTTAATTACTTAATTATTAATTGAATGGGACGTTAAGTGATACGTAATTTTTTTTAAATATTGATGACTAAAATTAATTGACCAAATCTAATTAGCTTCATTGACACCAGTTTAGTAGAAAATTGCAGACATTACAACTTCTGGTGATGTTATTTATTAATAAACCAAATTATATGCAACATAAAAAGTTCATGATATGCAAGTTAAATAACCAAAATATGTAAGAAACTATATAAAAAGGGCCAAAAAAAATTAAAGGTATATTTTAAAATGTTTTATTATTAAATAACCACATTGTTACTCAACCATTTGTATTTACAAAAATATTATATGACCAAGTATGAGAGTAAATATGCAAGATTTAATTCAGTTATTAGTTATTTTATAACTGAATGTATCTTGCATATTTACTATATAGTTTCCACATTTTATACCCATCTAATATGTAAGAGGAGAACTCCATAATACACAATCTACAATTACTGGAACACGAGACTGTATCAAACAGATTCAATCTTTTAAAAACTAATAATTTCCCTCAATTTTCTAATTAAAAATATAAAAATCACAAGTAATAAATAAAGGTCATACAATTAATTCACTTTCAACAATTCTCAAAATTTATATATTCAAAGAATGTAGCTGATATTATTTATCAATTTAATTCAAAATTCTTCAGTTTAGGCTTATACAAGCACAATACATGTGAATCTTAAAAGATACACCAAACCAATTTGTTTACCAAAACATACACAGTAAAACAATTTTCAATAAAACACTTTTCATTCAGTTAATATAATATAATTTACTTTAAATACTCTTAGGGGTATGAAGACTGTTGACAACATTTACCACAAACTCAAGTGTTGGATACTTTTGGGCTGCAGACATGAGGGAAACTTTCAACACTGTAAGGACATTGGAGAGCAGGTACCCTCCAACCGCACCCAAGTAACATGGGATCGGCCACTTTTGCCAAGGGGTGTTCCAGTCCAAGGGAATCACAACAGCCCCCAACCACGCACCACACACCGTCAGCAAGGCATTATTAATGAGCATTTGGATGGTTGTATTCTTTCCATATCCTTTTATACCGAATAATAATTGCATAGCTGTTTCCACTCCACAATGGGCGATCAACGGAAACACCGCCAATAAAGTCATCAAAGCAGACAGCATAAGGGTCTCTTCGTGACATTCCAGCAGAGGAGCACCAAAAAGTATTATTCCAATAAAGAAACTGAACAGCACAACAAGCAGGAAGACAAATGATTTTAATATATCGGACACTGTGCTCTTGTTTGCTTTGCTTTTCTTCGTTTGTACTTCATCAGTTGAACTCAAGTAAAATGATTTCAGTAGTTCTGCCACAAATATTAGAACCAAAATATAGAAGGAAGATCCATTTCCAACAGAATATAAAAGACCTTTGTATGATATGAAGGTTACAATACTGGGCAAATAAATGCAAGTTATTAGGCTTGAGACAGTAACTTTTCTCAATTCTAATTGGTTATTTAGAGTAAACATTTTGAAAAAACTTAGAATCTATTAATTTTTTTTGTGTAGACTAGAAGTTTGTACATGACAATGACATTGACAGTGAGTTGCTGAGTGACAGTGAGTGGAGTGACAGATACAATCAGTGTTACCAGATCACTATCCGTATTCTCCAAATCTCCCTCGAAATCCCCCCTATTTAGGCTTATTATATGAAATACAGCGATCACCAAGGTAATTAACATACCGTTATCATATTTTTGAAGTGATAACTTATTATGGCTGGGTAAACCGTTACGTTACGTGACACGTTAAGGCGCCAGTCTTTCTGGTTTCCTTTCCTCTCCTCTCACACATACGGCAGGGGTAGTCAGACCTCTCTCACTCTAACCCGCAGTGCTGCTTAGATTAGTTTATGTTATCACTTCTGATTGGCACAGACATGAAATCACATGAGATCTTTATTACATCGTCGCTAATGTATTTCGTTCACCTTATGCTATCGCATTACATTAAAAAAATGGGTGCGTGTACTTATGTAGGCGGGTGAGAAGTTATCCTTCTTTGGCATCGTTTAAAATTAGTTTTTAATTGCATGCAAATAATTAATTACAATAAATTAATAAAAGTCTGGAAAAGGACACAGTCAATAAAGTTCAGTTTTAATTTGAAAAAATAAATAAATAATCAAAATATTCAATTAAAATCGCTACTGAATATAATTTATTGGTACATATGTGATTTGCACTTGTATGAAACTCAAACACGTATTCCGAATATACAAACTAGAAACATGTGGATAAATATTATAAATATGAATACCTATAACTGTTACTTTATTACAAAAAATAAAGATGTGGTTTTTGGTTCTACTACACCAATGGTCAAGAGATGGCGCTGTAGTCTCCTGAATCGCGCTTTGGTTCCGTTGTTCCAGATTAATAAATACTTTTGATATTATAAATATAAATACCTATAACTGTTACTTTATTACAAAAAATAAAGATGTGGTTTTTGGTTCTACTACACCAATGGTCAAAAGATGGCGCTGTAGTCTCCTGAATCGCGCTTTGGTTCCGTTGTTCCAGATTAATAAATACTTTTGATAGGCCTTCACAATGCAGTCGTTAGCACCCACTAAATAGAGATTCTATTTCTATTTTGTTGGTAGATTTTCTTAATGTGCGGTAATCACAAAAGTAACGCATGAAGTTGGTCGCTACTTCATGCTGTTAAAATTTTGTGTTACAGTGATGCGCGCGCATCCTAAAATTTCACTCTCATCATTTTTTCATAACGCGCCTAAAGAAGTATAACTTCAAAAACCGATTTTATCGACAAATATCGGTGGATCTGTGAAACGCCAGTCACGCGGGCAACTCGGGTTTAATCCCCGCCGAGAAAGACTTTTTTATTTTGTTTTCTACTTTTTGTAAGCCAAATCAACACGAATATTTTTTCCGTTCCCCGATTATCAATTATTGAAGATGCCTGGATTATTCCGAAATTTCTTTACGTTTTGTTTTGAAAGTGTAGGTATATAATTCCCAGGTGATCCAATAGTCATCAGCTCAAGATTTCATGATGGAATCCCGGAAATATCTAAGAAATTCTCAAAAAATATTGGATAATAGCAGCATTTTACCTGAAATAAAATG